AGTATAAAGCTATGTTCTTTGATCTGGTTTATGAAGGGTTTCAAGAGAAGTCAAAAACTTTTCATCATCTGCATTCATATGGATATAAAAATATCAACATTGTGTTGGTTATGTAAGCTTTTTGTTTCATTGGCTGAAAGCAAATTTGGATAAGTATCTTGTGTGGATTTTGTGAGTTCAGGTTCTGTTTTGCATGCATTGACAACTGGTCTACTATCACAAACCTTTGCCCACTTTGCCAGAGTGAATTTCAGTTGATCACGTGTATCCCGGTGAGTGATGCATTATTAGATGTATTCTTTCTGCTTCGCATTTTACAATCATTTGTCCTTCCCTTCAAAAAAATGTTTCTTTTTTTTCTCATTCATATGCCTTTTTCATTCTTTGAGTTCCTGTAACGTCATGTTTGGAAGTTTGCACAAATTGTTGGCTGAGCATGCTGATTATTCATTTACTCTTCATTCTTTGAATTCCTTTTAAGTCATGTTTGGAAGTTTGCACAAATTGTTGGCTGAGCTTGCTGACTATTCATTTATCTTGAAGATATATGATATTATTGGAAGCCACAAGGTTGATGAGGAAACATTTTCCAGGTATTTCTTATTAAGTTCTTTCCCATTGTTTTTCCTCTTAAAAAAAGTTCCCCCCCTCCCCCAATTTTGTTGGTTTTACTTTACTAAAACCCATGAATATTGTAGAGTCAGTATTACATCAGCATTTTGTTCTTGCAGTCTTATTTGGATAATTCATGCAACTATCTTGGTACCTCTTTTTTCGATAGAAAAAGAAATATATTAATGAAGGGAAAGAAAAGAGTACAAAATAGAGAGGATTTGGAATCCTTAGAAAAGAAGTAAACAAAAAGGAGAAAAAATAAGAAAGCCTAGCTAATCTTGTGAGAGAATAGCTAGACAATCTCTTTACAGTACAGATGAAGATAAATCCTTAAAATAGACTACGTGCTTAAACCCTCTTAGGAGCAACGAAAGGTAGCTTATCCTAGAGCTTAAAAAAAAAAAAGAGAAAATGGATCCTTAAAAATTTCGGCATTTCTCTCCAACCAAATGACCCACATCTTCCTGGAAAATGCCCCTTAATAGAGAGCCTTAACCTTCATCTTCATTCTCATACCTAATAGGACAGGAGAGAGAAAACCATTGACGTACTAGGTGAAACCCGAGAGAGACTAAAAGCATTTAAGATCTGATGCAATAGATTCCAAGAACATCGAATTTTATATAAAGATGGTTCTGGAACTCAATAGGGCTTTTGAGGCTAGTTAGAATGAGATTCACAAGATCAAGGATAGGTGGTTTCATTTTTTTGGGTCCTTGATGTTGGGGTATAATATTTATAGGACAGAGGATTTTGGGAATATTACAGATACACTAACCAAACTTTATATGGGCAGTTCTCCCTTGATACCTTTGTGAATAATACCATTCATACTTTTTATTTAAAAAATAAAATAAAGTTTGCCCAGAACAATGCTTCATGCAAGAAGTTTAATCTTGAGGGAGTGAGAACCTTTCATAAGCATTCATGGAAAACATCGTTATGAGAGGCAAGATTATGAGTCAAAAAAACCACGGTATGACTTGTAAGGAAAAAACCTCGAGGAATCCAAAGGCCATATTCTGCAGTCAAGGGGATTAGAAAAGACTGCATACTCTAGAAGCTATTGAAGAGACCATATAAGATGTTTCCCAATTATCAAGGTTTCTCAGGAAATTCAAATGTCACATATGGGAATCTTAGATTGGTCTAAATTAAGCGATGGGGAAGTGATGGTCAATTGTTAAGCGAGGGAAAAAGGAGGCTAGAAGGATTATCAAGCCAAGGGTCCTTCCTAAAAAAGCAATTGAGGGCCATTGCCAACCCTTAATTTACTAGGGGTAAAAACAAAGCATAAAGGCTGGAAATAGCCTTCCAGGAGCTCTTATATGTACTCGAAGCATTAATCTGAAACTCCAGCCATTTTGGTGCATACCAAACTTTCTCTTAATAGCCTTGTGCATGCTACAAGGAGTTGGGTTCCAAAAGAAACCATCATAACCATTTAGTTAAAAGAATAATTTTTAAGATAAAGATTCCCAATATCAAGACTCCATCAACTCTATGTCCTCTCTCATGGACTCTCTTGAACCTGATCATTGAAAGTTTAATGTGATTATAGGAAAACAAACGAATTGTATCATCTCCAAACTGAAAATTGGGCATCTCCAACGTATCAAGATCAGTTTTAAAACCCCTTGGGTAAGTCTTTATCATAATCTCTAGAGGATATTCAACTCAAAGAGAGAAAAATATGCTTAATTTTTTTTTTCTAAAAAGAGAAGAAGATGCAGAGGACCCATTGTGTCATACCGTGCTACCTTGAAAACCATTCTCTAGCTTTGCCATTAACCAAAACAACAAAAAGCAGCTAAAGAGAGCAACCCAAGATGAAGTTTTTCCGTTTGACACCCAAAGCCTTTCCTCTCCACGACCTTATCGAGGAAACCCTAATTTATTGCACAATCAAGAAGTATGGTGATTGAGGAGGCGTACAGGGACCTTAATGGCGTCAGGGATTGGATGGTGAACGTTACTAGAACCCTGAATGATTAGAAAAAATGTGAGTGTGAAGCTCTTTTGCAACTACTAGCCTCACAACAGGTAAATACTGGGCCAGATCATGTTCTTTGGAAGCTGAACTAGAATGGATACTTCTCAGTTAAATCTTATTACAAGCACATTGTGAGGAGTGGACCTGACGGGAGCCACAACTATTCGGTTCACCAAATTTGGAAATTAAAGACGCCTCCTAGAATCGTTTTTTTTTTTTTGCTTAGGAGGCTAGCCAGAATGCATTCTGACTATAGATAAGTTGATGACTAGAGGTCATATTATGGTAAACAAATGTTACTTATGCATGAATGCGGTGGAGTCTTGCAATCATCTTCTTTTGTGGTGTCCTGCAGCTTATGATCTATGGAACATGATTTATGGTCTTCTGGGGATTAAATGGGTGATGTCTGGTGCTGTTAGAGAGGAAATTTTGGCATGGGATGAGTTATGTAAAAGAAGATAAGTTGAAAAATTGATTCCATTGACCATTTTTTGGTCATTTGGAAAGAAAAGAATTTTAGAGCTTTTGAGGGTAAAGAGGTAGCATCTTATAGGTTGAGAGATAGATGGTGTCATTTTTTGGGGTATATCTTGTTAGAGCATGACATTATTAGGGATGAGAATTTTAGAAATGTCATTGACATCCTAACACTTTTGTAAATTTTCTGTACCATCGTGATACCTTTTCAATATATATTTCACACTTTTTACAAAAAAAAAATAGTTTTTCACAAAATCCAACTTGAATTCCAAGCCTTTGTTTCTCAACTTTACACCTTCCTTCCTGCCTCATTAGCAAAAGAGAGAGGCACCTAAAGTTCTCTCTCCCCCCCTTCCCGGCGTAAATTCACTCTAGTGAAAAGATATCATCTCTTCGAGTATCTTATTCAACCTCTATGAGAGCACTTTTGAGATGATCTTATAAACACATAATTGTACTAGTAGGGTGGTAATTAAACACTTTAACAGAATGATCTTTCTTATGGACCAAGTAATAGAAGCGGAATTCATACTTCCTACCTTACAATTGATATAAACTTCCTTAAAAATTATGACTAAATCATCCTTTATGGTATTATACTAAACCTGAAAGAAGGCAATAGCAAAACTATTGGTCCCCAAAGCCTTCTTAGTACCAAGGTTCTAAACAGCTCTTGACTTCATCTTTGTCAAACAGACACTCAACCTATCCAGCTTGCTCCCCACTCGAACACCAACAAAGACCCCTGATAAAAGGCTTGTTGATGTTCTCATCCTCATAGAGATTCTAAAAGTTTATTTATCAAGGACCAAAGGCTGTTGAATCTCTTACCACTTTGGCCCCTTCCAGTTCTAGTTCCTTACTAAAACTCTTCTGCATCTTATTGCTGACCACCATGAAAACATTTAGAGTTAGCATCAAATTCCTTCACCCATTTGTCTCGAATTACATCTCTTCATTAATAAGCAATGCCTCAAAATTTAAGAGAGGTCAACCTTATAATTTGATAATCATTATAACATTGTCCAAGGCCATTCTATCGAGAACAGAAATTCGATCAAGAATATAATTTTTCCTAACTCAAGTATCACTAAGACCTTTCTTTGTTTTCCAAATCTTCCACTTATCCTTAAAGAAATGAAGCTTTTCATGAAATTAAGAACTTTCCGACCCATAGGGTTACACTTGTGCAACCAAAGTGTTGATGTTACCCAAGAAATCATTATGTGTTAGCCACATGTTTTTAAAACAAAAAGGGGTAGGGCTCCAATTCAAACGGCTAGATTCCAAGAGGATAGGAAATGGTTTAGACACTGGGTGAGGCAAGATCCCTGAATCAAGTCAGTTTTGCCGTGATTGGATACTAGAAACCTACCAATACAAGAGGAGATGATCCTGCCACTATTAACTGGCCAAGTATGTTTATATTGGAAAGAGGGAGATCCCTAAGTTTAAAATCTTGAGTGAAATAATTTACTCCCTTGTGGTTACAGTAATCCTATTCACGGTAAACATCTTCTAAAGTATCTTTGCAAGTATTATAATCATCAGCAATACATCAAAAAGTGCTATATAAAAAAGATAGCATACTAGGATGAGTAGGCTCGCATTCACAAGAAAACCACCGAGACCCCTTATTGCCAATATTCAAGAAAGTCGAAAGAAAATGACCCTTCAATCTGATCAACAAAAGAACCAACCCCAGTACTTTTTTTAATATGGAGAAAAGAGAAGAGGGAAGAGCAGAGAATCAAACCCCTGACACCCCTACAGATAGAGTAAAATACCAGCTCTTAAATCCAGAATCCTAAATGTTATGAACAAGGAGCAATTGAAAAAATCCATCTTAGTCTCCTGAAGTATAGCAATATCCTGATTAGCCTGAGAAATAACTTACTTGATCTTTTTTCCTCTTGAAAACATTATGATATTTTTCCTCTTGAGAACATTCGGAGAAGATGGATGGTAGAGGTTAATCTCCTCAGTTCAAACTTAGTACTGCATTTCCTTCTAAGATAAGTCTTAGGTGATACTCTAATCCTAACTTCTTTCCCAGAAGAGTAAACTAATGTAAAGTTCAGTTTCTTAAGGATCCCATTAGGATCTTGGGGGCAAACATTTGTCACAATTGACTGAATAGACGGATCTATAACTAAATGTCTTTTTGTAGGTATAGAGATTTTAAAACGTGTCTGATTAATATCCTAGATAGAAAGAACTCTTGGTTCCAGGACTTGATTTCTTGATTAATGGTCAACTGCTTTTTCCAAACGAAGATTTAAGGAACATAATTGACATTTTGCTAGACTTGTAATCTTTTATATACAGGTTGCACTCCTTTGGTGAAAAATCAATGTTGCAATTCATATTGTCCCCACCGAAAAGGTTATTATTTTAATAAACAGGACATTGGGTAGGGAATTAAAATTAAAATCCAAAATGTGAGGATTATAGTGTGCACAAAATGGTTATGCTCAAGATGAGAGAAACGAGGCACTCCCTATTTAGGTGCAAAAGTTTGGTTCACTGGCATTTCTATGGCATGCCCACCCTCGATATGCTTCTCAATTGCAAAACAATCACTAGTTTTGTTTGCAAGATTTCTGCAACAAATAAGCCATCAAGCCTTCCAACTTGAAATCACTGTCTTTCTTCGTATCCTCCATATTCATAGTTGCATCAGCTGCAAGCACATCTGACACTATCCCTTAATCTGCTTTTACCATTTCAAGCAGCCTATTGTCAGAATTACAACTCTGTAAAGTGACTGGAAACCAGCGCCTCGGCCCCACACATCCATGACCCATGAGTGTGAACTGCAAATTTTGCTTTTCTTTTGACTTTTAAAGCTTGTTTCAACTATAACAGGCCTCCTTGACCAGTTTTCACCAAATCAGACCAATTCAACATTGCTTCAAGAAAAGTTTCAATTATTTTGTCCCTTACTTTATTTACCGGCTTCAATAACAGTGACTAATGTTGAATTGGATGGATGACAAGATGCATATGAGGCAGTAACTTATGCCAAAATCTAGACAATTCAAAATGCAATTAATGCAATTTTGGAAGAATTAAAACACTTGAGCACCGCACACGTAATCTCACAAGCTCAAAACCTATAAGTTGCACAAGTTGCTGCAGTTGGATAAAAGTCGAAGCTCCTTAATTCTGACGGAAGAAGAGTTTGATAAATTTTCTCCTTTGGGAATTCTGAAACAAACACCGTCCTGAGGATGCTATCCGCTACCCTAAAAATTCTGAAGGACTTGGCCTTAACTGGAAATCAATTACCTCCCTCATAGTTGGAAGAGAACAAATAGGCTAAAGAAAAGACAACAGAGGGCTCCCTAAACAAAAAAGAATAGATCGATTAAGAAATCCAATTGTATCACAAACGTTTCAGCATTATTGGATTTCCTAATCACCATGGCATTCCTCAGCTCACTTGAAGAACAGGCCCAAGTAAACTGTTGTTTTGCTTTTTACTGGGAAAACCAACATCAACTATTCTTGCATCCTTCATGAAGTGTTGCTGAGGCACATACCTCAGATTGGGAGAGGGAAGAAGGGTCCCTACTGATTGTGAACCAAAGTGTTTTCAGGTTAAGAATTGTTCGTCTAGACTTATGCTGGTACCCACTTCATGTTATTAATTGGAAACTTGTCCACTTTTAGTGGCTGGTTACTATTAGTTTGCCATAAATCCTGACATTTAGCAATATTTTATGAGTAATCATTTTAAGTAAAGAAAAAATCTTGTTATACTTTGTAGATGTTCCAGCACGGAATAATATTGTGGTGTAAGTAGATTGCTGAAGATTTTAGGTCCATTCAATCACCTGGGAATTGACACAATAATTGATACGCTATATCATGTATGAGTGAATCATAGCGACTGACTTATTGAAAAAAATGTGGCATATTTTTTGCAGGGGTTAGTGATTTGTCACGACAATTTGCATTTATGATACATTGTAAAACTTCTAATAATACAATATAGACACTATTACTCTCTATCTTGTATTTCTCCTCCCTCTTTCTGATAATACTTCTCTTTTTATATATACATATATATTATACTATATTTTAGTATGCTGTAATAGTATCTTGGCTTTAATGCTATAGTTGATATTTTTTATCCCCCTTAACGCAGGGATGACGAATGGTTTGTTGACGGGAAGGGCAATACTCTTTCTTTTCCTTCATACTATATTGATGAAAATGTAAGTGCACCGACTTATTATGCCTTCAAGTTGCTAGAGGAGTGAACCTTGCTGAGTCTTCTGAACTTTTACTATCATGATTGTTGATGCTTTATAGTCAGGTTTATGGTTCTTAACTTGATGTTAGCAGTAAATTCCCTAGTTGTTTGCTTTATCTTGGGAATCATTTATCTGGATTAAGCAACTAGAAGAGGGTCCATTCTCTTGGTCTGATATGAGAAAAAAGCCCAAGGAAGGAAAGAAATAGTAAATAGAATAAATAGAACACATAAATGTTAGACAAGGAATATGCATAATAAAAAAAATTTAAGAGTTGAATCAGTTGATGCTGAGCAGACAACCTTGTCTGCAAGCCTCTCAACAAAATCTCCTTGATCACATGAATAATTGACTATTTCTCTCCAAGCAGCCATTAATTTTGCTTCCTCCAATCTGTCCAGATCAACCAGGTTGGTTTTGTGTTTCTTTATTTTATGTTTGGAACTTGTTCGAGCTTCATGAAACTTGCTCTGGGCCTGATTCATTGCCATCCCTAGATATAATTTGGGATATATTTTTGCATACTGGAAAAGACTTGAAATTTTCAATGTGGATTTATAGATGTAAATGGGGAAGAAACTGTTAGCAAAGATCTC